GCTCGTCCCTCCTCGGTCCCGCTGCGCGCTCCGGGCGCCTCTCACCCTGTGCCAGCGCCGAGTCCCGGGGCCTCCTCAAGGTTCGGCCCAGGGCCGCGGAAATAACTGGAATGGATTTCCTTTCTTTCGTGAAAGTGGAAGCTTAAAGCTGACACTTAAGCGTCCTGCCTTCCTGCAGCGGCGGAGAAAGCGTGGTTCCCAGTCGCTGTGAAGGAACTTACCACAAACCCCCGCCCGCCTTTTTTATAATCTTTGAACTTCCTTTCTTTTAAAATTTTACTTGAATTCAAAGGTATGTGCTGTGAATTTCTGTGTCTCCGTTGGGTAACCATGGTTACATGTTGGCCCTAAAGAACCAGGAGCCTGGTGCCGGCTGCGGACTGTCTTGCTGAGAAAGTCTTGATTTTTGTATTTTTGCCCGAGTTGCGCTGACAGTGTTTGACCATCGCTTACTTATTTTCTTCTAGTAGCACTGCTCTTTTGCTCTGCCTTCTGGATGGTCAAAACGCTCGAGTTTCCCCTTGGCCTTATTTCTGCTAAGCAGCCTCGTTGAGTGAATCCGGCCCCTTGCCGTGACTCTGGGATCCCTGAAACACATTCAAGTGTAAGTTGCACTGAACATTCCTACGAAAGTGTTTCGTGACCAAGAGAGATTTTCGAATTTCTTAGTTCCCTTCCTAAGTGTTTTCTGAGGAGTTGCTGTATGGTGTGCTGACTTCAACAATCTTTTAGGTTATGCAGTTTCACATTTTAAAAAAATAAACATTGCAGGGAAGAAATAATTCATATATTATATATCTTTATGAGATCACCACAACTAATACTGTGCTTAAAATTAAAAGCAGGCAGAGCTGTCTACTTAAGTGTCCTGTACAAGATAAAGAAGGCTGTTTTTCCTAGTTTATACTGAGGCTCACATTGGGAAACTCAAGCCACAGAAGCACCAGTATGTGCTTATACGCTTGAATCTAAAGCATTTCCCATCAGTTAGCAATTGGAAATGAGACGTTCACAGAAAAAATATACATTAATTGTATATATTTCATTCCACTAGAAGTTATCTCTATGTACCCGTATGTAGCTATGTAATTAGAACAGTTATTCTCAAGTGTATCTGATCAACACTTGGTTTGTATAGCAGATATTTTGTAATTAGACTTCACTATTCTGAAATCAAGAACACAGACAATCTTATCTTTATAATGTAGTTTTAGATGTTGAAAGTGCTCTTTAAGTGAGGGACAATACTTGTGAATGTTTGGTTACTACTATTACACTAGACTACATAAGGAAGTTGTCAGACACACCCTAGCCTGACCTAGAATCACCGTGGACACAGTAACTGCAAAGGCACCCTCATATAAATGCACCATTGCAAGTAAAATTTTGTGAATAATATTGGCATCAATGGCATGATTTCCAAAATGGTAAAGTTCCAGGTGAAATGAAGTGCATATGATTTTCCTTTCACTTATATTGCAGTTACAGTCCTTGAAAAATTCAGAATATACTAAAACTGTAAAAAATTACTTGGTGATTTTTGGAAAGTGGAAACCCTTCTAGACTCATTATTTATCTGAAGGTTTTTACTTGCCAGATGTCTGGAGGTTACAGCAGACTTCCTCCTGCTGGGTGCAGCCCTGCTCAGGACGTTGTGCAGCTCTGGTCCTCTACTGAATGCCAGTGATGCCCCCTCACATTGTCCTGGTAACCACGCTGACATCTGCACAGTGTTTCTCTACAGCTTCCAAGCTGGAAGTGTTCACCTTCTGAGAGTCACTGATATCCTGTGAGGGGACTGCAAGATTTAATGCAGTGTGAAAAGTCAAGTCGCCAAGACATTTCTGTAGAATAGATACTTCTGACCCTTTATAATAGTAGTGGATGAAAAAGGCTGGAATATTCTATATTTGGTTTTATGGACACTGACCTAATATTCTAGAAGGCAGGCTTTAATGATCAGTGTTAATACAGAGGAAAAAACAAACAAGTATAGATCATCTGAAAATAATACCTTTTATGAATTTATATCAGGGCCTGTTTTTTAAACATGGTTTTTCTTTAGTGTTACAGATGATGTCATCTTTTTAAACAAAAACATCATTGGAAAACTTTCCTATGTAACCAAAGTGAAATTTATTTCATTGACTTTCTCTTTTTCATTTTATTGCTAGACCTTTGATAATTTGCTTAGATAAATGGACTGAAAAAAAAACTCTTTTTTTCTTACAAATCTGCAATTTGAACAGGGAATCCAGCATTTGAATTGCTCAAACATTCTTTCAATAGGATCAATATGTCCTGAACCACTTTTCAGAAAAAAATTGAAATTACGATTTACCATTACATTGAGAAGGCATGTAGGGTGTTTACAACGATCTCGGAATCATGTCTGTCTGTCGTAATTGTGCTGATACAGATGTTGTGACCAAAGAAAGTCAGAATTGCAGAGCTCCTCCTGTTGCATATTTCTGAATGACTTGAGACATTTCTCATTTAAACCTCCAGCCCCTTGCAGAGCCACGGACCCAGACACTTGCTGCCAGCCTCCTTCTGTTCTTTTTCCACTTTTGCAGTTTTCTGCATAGATTTTCTGTCCAGCTCTCTGTATTCTCTTTCTCAGGCCCGATGATGTCAGAAGAAAGTTACTAATTTCAGGGTGGGCAGATATTGGAAAACCCCTCCATATTAGTAAGTTTTACTTAGCGCTCTTGGACTATTTTATCAACTTGAAGAGCCATTACATGATTTGAAAACAAATCTCTAAGAGTCAGAAGCAGACTGTGGGTTGGATAGGACTAATTGTAAATCCTGAAAATGGAAACTGTGCCAATGGAAAGGCGACCGTGTGGTCTCTGTCCCACTCTTTGTGCCCCGATACAGGGGGTGCTGCTCGGACCCAGGGGATTAGCGGGACCATGGGCGTGGCGCTGGCGAGACTGGCACAGTGGACCGCAGCCGGCTACGGCGCAGGGACCCTGGAGCTCACCCCGCTGAACGAAGTATTACTGAAGGAGATCCTTGTATTTGTGGAGCATTTTATTTATGATCACCCCCAAGAAGCTAAATTTGTTTTCGTAGAACCACTTGAGTGGAAAACCAATTTGGAGCTCTCAGCATTTGAATCAGGTTATATTGTCAGGTAAGGCACTTAATGGCTTCTAGAGTTTAATTTCATTATTGTGCATATTTTTATGAATTGGTTGTGCATTTTGGAAAAGCCCGCTTTGCCTCTGTGTGTCTCAGAAATCCCAATCTGATTCCCAATCAGAGGCAGTCAGGTGAAATTTGAGGATATTTCCATTACCCAGCACAGAATTTTATTTAATTTATAAATTTAAATTTCATTTTCTTTTGATAGAGGATATATTCTCCAGGTCACTGCTGTTGCTTCACGCTTGGCCTTTCCACCCATCCCTGTTGCCTGCCACATGCCAGGAGCCTCTGGTTTTGTGTCATCGGATACAGACAAAATCCCTCCCACAGGAGAAGCAGTGATTTAGCAAAGTGGTCTCAGAATTTTAATAAGTAAAAATAACAAATGGACTAGGGATGTAGCTCAGTGTGAAAGCCCTGGGTTCCGTCTACACTACTAGAAAAAAAAAAAAAAGAACATAGCCACATATATACATAAAATTATAGAAACACATAATGATGTATTATAATGTGGCATTATTCATTATAATTGCCTGATAAACAGATGGACATATTTCAGCAGTGTGCAGCCTCAGTTTACTGTTCCTTTTAGGTGTCTTTTTTCTGTCACCTCGTCCCCATTTGGTTTCACATATAAATTTTAATAGTCTGACCTTATAAAAATAGTTCCATAGCTAACCAAAGCTTCCTATAGATGCCTTTTCTCTCTTTCCTTTTGGGATTATTTGTGATCATAGGGTCAGAATTTCATTTTTAGAACTGCAAAACCATTTTTGACCTGCATCTAAGAACTCTTTAATTCTTAGATTGGTTTTCCTTCTCTGTGAAGTTTTTGAAAAATTTTATTGGTGTATTTTCTGGCTCACTCTGCCAAAGGTCACTTTCTCCCCAAGTTCTTGTCATTTCTGGATGAGTCCCCCATTCTTTGTTGATCCCACCAAAGTTCAGTGTTTTTCCTAACTCTTGAAAAGATGAAAAACAGCTGCAAAACCAATTAGAAATATATTAAATACTTTGTTCAAAGATGGCTTTAAATCATACGACAGAAAAAAAAATCGTGATTGTCATTGTGTCTGGATGTTGTGCTAACTTTGTGTTCCAAGTACAATCATGACCACATCTGCTTCCTGGTTAGGTGGGTGTTACGCATGCCTCAAATGTGTCACTGTTTTTCTTTCTCTATTCTTCTCCAAATTTTTTTGGCTTTATTTCCATACTTAAATTTCTGAATGTTGTCTTTAAGTATAGTCCTCTGTTCTAAGCATTATGTTTTAACATTGCAACACCATATATATTTTGAAACAACTACATCTCGATTGTCTTACCTCTGTCAGATTTAACAGGCAGAGTTTCATTTGGGTAATGCTTCTGGGTGTCATGTTTGTTTCTGACCTCTATTGCTGATGTCTTTGGTGTTAGAAGGGATGGGACAGATCTGGGAGCATCACTTACTGAATGTGAAGGAAACTGAGCTTGTGTGGTTCTCATGAAAACCAGATATGTGCTGATTGCCTTGAAGAAAGCAAGGATACAGCTACGATTTTGCTAATAGCAGAAAATAACTAAATGCTTTTACATCCAGGACTCCTGCATGCACCAAAGCAAAGAAGTCCAGCAAGCCATAGCCACCTCTAGCAACAAAATGAGTGATAAAAACCAGAAATGCTCTCAGTAGCCAGGAGAATTTATTGCTAAAGTAGCCCAGCTATCTCTTCTTTGCCCTTTGGTTTCCATGCACTTTTCTGGCCCTTACTTTACTGTTTATACATTTATTAAAAGCAAGGCAGCTATTCTTCTTTCAGACAGGATTCAGGTCTGTGTGTCCCAGAGTAAAGTCAAAGTCATGAAAGACTTGAGTTGAAGTCTCTTGGATGCGTTTCTCTCATATAATTGTATCTTTGCAGGTTTTAAAATAAAGGCAGTCTTTCTCCTTGTGGCTGTACTTTCTCTCCAGTCTCTTCTTCCAAAACAAGTCAGTTTAATCTATCCTAAGTGTATGAAATAGGTAAGTTAGCCTGCAGATATTGGTGGGAGTATATTGGTGTTTCTGTCCTTACTTCTCATTTGATGTTGTGCATCTGTATATCTCCTCTGTGCAAGTCAGTAGAAGTCTTCTTAATTAGCCAAATTAACGTTTGCTGTTTGAAACTGATCCTTTCCTCACATGTTGAAAAGGTCTCACATTTCATCGCCATCTCCTTTCCTTGTGTGCAGATTGTTCTAATGGAATAGGTACAGCACTTTCCAGATGTCACATGATTCATCTTTTCCGTTAGAATCATTCCAAACCTATTTATCCTGTGGTAACCTATGTCATCATCTCCTGTTTAATTTCTTTAAAAAGAAAATGGCCTTATTTTCATTTTACTAATCTTCCTGAAATACTCACCATGAAGCCCACATGTGACTGGAGACAGAGTACACACCCATGTGACACACACATGCGAAGACAGCGCACACACATCTGTGGGTGGCAGCACCTCTGGCGGCCCTGCTTTTGAATCCTAGAATGGAGTTTGGGAAGTTTACAGATTGGTTAATCATTCAGAATCACGTCAGAAAAATGTCAGTTTCTCTTCTTCTCTGGTAAAACTACTTTTTCAGTCCTGTCTGTTCTGCGGTTGCCATACTGTACTTGCAAGCCTCTTTCTGCTGTGTCTTAGTGATCTGTGTGAACTGGAACAAAATTGTATGCTGGTAGAAGCTCTCTGTAGACAGGAAGCATGTTGTCCCCTCTGTGTGAATCGTTCCAGGCCTTCGTTTTCTGATCAGTGTTGTGAAGGCTTGAATTACACCGTCCCTAATGTTATATTCAACCTATAAGCGTGTTGTTTTTGAGCTGACGTTGTGATAGTTGGGTAAACTTCCCAGGTCATAGTAGGAAGGTCAGTAGCTATAAGGTATTTGTGTTTTTAGTATGAGGAGTGAAGGAGCAAACCCAGGGCCTCAGCCTTGTTAAGCAAGCACTGTAGCACCGAGCTGTGTCCCTCGGCTGCTATGAGTTTTGTACTGAGCTCTTTATTTTTTCGCCTTGACAACTGTAAACAGCTTCTTGACTCACCTTATTTCCTGTGTTATCATTTAGACATACATTTTTTGAGTAATTACTCTAACTTGGCACTAACCTTTGCGGTGGGAGTAAAGAAAACGACATTTTCCCCCTCTCCTTCTTTGTAGCATAAATTGAGTATCTCTAGCCCCTTCCTCAATCCCAATCTTTCCATCAGGATGGTCGATGTCACCAGCAGCACATTCCATGACTTTCAGGAGCTGGGTGCACATTTTTCTTTCCAAGAGCTCATTCTTCAGGTGTTAGAAATGGTGAACCTAGAAACGGAAACTGTCTTTTCTGCATCCTCTCTATAGCAGGCGTTTTATTTCCCACTTCTCTGTTAAGTTCTAGGCTCCAGTAGGAGCAATGCCCTGCAGTCCTCCAGTTTTTCAACTGGATTTCCACTTTTTTTTTGAGTCCGGTAGCTTGATATTTTCGACACCCAGTGAGCTTACAGCCCAGCCCAGTCATCACCTGGTTAGCTAGAGTAACCACCCCTAGGTAGTCACCATTAGGTACGAGCCTTTAAGGAATCTCAGTGCAGAGTTCTATAGGTGATAAAAGTCTAAAGTGAATTTCAGGGTTAAACAGCATCATTGCCAGGGCTCTGCTCCTTCTGGGGGCTCAAGGAGAAGTTGCTCTTTCCTTTCCCAGCCCCAAGAAGCTCCCTGTATTCCTTGGCTGTTGGCCTTGCATCTCTGACCTCTGCTTCTATCATGGAATCACCTCTGATTCTAACCCTCCCATCTCCCTTTTGTGAAGACCCTTGTGATTATATTTGTGCCAGGTAATCCAGAATTGTTTCCTGGTTTCAAGACCTATAACTTGATCCATTTCCAAAGTCCCCTTTGCCATGTGTAGTGAAGTATCCACAGGTTTGGGGGGATTAGGATACCTACATCTGGGGGGACATCCTTCTACCTCCCCTAGTTGCTATCTTCTGGCTTTGTTTCTAGTGTAATAGTAAAATGATTTGGATAAGTGTCTCCCTAGGCTCATGTGTTCAAAGCTGGTGCTCAGCTAGGCATTATTTGAGGTTGTGGGATCTTTAAGAGGCAGAATTAATGGAAAGATGTGAGGTCATTGCGTGTGCCCTTTCCCAGGATAAGGAGACCTTGGTTCCTCTCTGGTTGGTTGCTCCTCCATGTGCTCCCCACCGTGATGTGCTGCCTTGCCACAGGCCCAAATGACTGTGGGCTAGAACCTCTAAAACCGTAGGCAAATGAGATCTTCCCCCTTTTTAATCTGCTTCATTTTTTACCTGGGCCTGCTTAGGCAACCTGGTGGTCCCCCCTCTCCCTCACCATTTTGATGGCGAACTTAGTGTGGACACCCAGTTGGCATAGCGCTGCAGCCCAGAACTCTCAGACCAGAGGGATCCTCCCCTCAGCCTCCTGAGTAACTGGGACTATAGGTGCGCAGCACCGTGTCCTCTTTTCTCTTTTTAAGTTGATTATACCAGGCATTTTGTTACAGTGATGAAGGGCTTGCTCATATAGTGTCAGCAGCAAATAATGTGGATGTGTTGTGTTTGCTCTTTCTGCTGATTTACAAGCATTTTACAAGATTGACGTGTAACAAAAACCTGTAGAATTTAATCAGTGCTGTAAGTGCTGGAAGCATATAGTTCCATATAAGCACGTCAATATTTTAAAATAAAAACCTAAACAAACAAAAAAAATCAGTAAGCTGTCAGAAACACCAATCTAGGAGACTCAGTAATTTCTGATCAGGAAAAACCCATTTTTAAAAAGCTGCTTATTATCCTAAGGTAGAGCAAATTAGGGAGTATAGAGTGGGGAAAATAATTCACAGAGAGGATCTAGTTTGCCTTTTTACATAGCTTTATTTTTTGTTCACAAACAGTGTAGCCAAGAAAATTCCTAACCACTAATTATTGTGGTCTAAAAATTTTATAAATAAAATAACATCAGAAATCCCCAAATCATGAATGATTCTGTAGAACTAGGAATTAAAAAAAAAAGATGTGAGAAACCAACATATTTTTAGAGTGACAAAAATAAAAACTGATTAATTGAGGTCAGCCATGATTCTAGAAATTACTTGAAGTTTTCTTTGCATATATATTATCTCGCTCACTATGGTTGCTTGAAGTTTGGGGGTTAAAACTGTGTGGGTACAAGTGGGGAAATGGATGAGCTTCTAATCTGATGTATTTCTATTTTTTTGTGTTTTATAACAAGACAGAAATAATCATCTGAATGTGTAGAAACAACTTCTGGTGGCATCTTGGTAACATTAAGCTTTCTTTTTCTTTTTTAGCAAAACAACCGTCAGTTCAGAAGAAGTCGATAAAGATGGACAGCCCTTACTATTTCTCTCTGTATCGAAAATTAAAGTGAGGAGCTTCGGGCAGCTGTCACAGCTGGTATTTGCTGCCAAAGATGCAAGGCTGACAGAAGCTCAAGCTTGTATCGAAGGTGATGCTTACTTTGCAGTCTGGGATCTGAACTTTCAGAAGATAATTGAGGGGGGATCATTTTTTTATGACCTCTTCAAGAAAGTTCTGCAGTCGACTGGTAAAAAGTCATAGGTACCACTTCATGAAGATGTCATTAATTTTTCTTGGCTGAACTGTTTTGTTCATATAGAATTCCCACTTTAAAATGAAAGGCCCGATCCTTTACCATTAGTAATCGCCTGGGATTGTGATTTTAGCACGCGGTTTGAGGAGCATCTTCTGAGTTTGTGCAGAGTCCAGTGTCCTGCATCCTGTGAGGGCCTGAGGACCAGCACCTGACCACCTGCTCTCCTGACTTGATGGGTGACCCTTTGTTTCCTCCCAAGTGGATATGGGCTCTCGCTTTAGCAGCTTGGCGGTCTGGTTTCTGTCTTTCCTGAGAATTCACCGGATGAGCACTTTCTTGACTCGTTAGGAGATGGCAGCTATAGGCTGAATGCTGCACAGATTGCTGACTCCTTGTCTTTGCTCCTCTTTCCCCCTGCAAAGCAGTCCTTTCCTATCCTTGATTAAGCCTTTTATGCAACTCCCCATTTCTTTTTGGAGAGTCAATGCCACTATTGCAGTCAAATCAAGCTTTCTGTGCCAGTGTGGGTTTCCCTCTGACCTTGGTGAATGTGAGTTTTCATCTGTCTGGAGTGGCTCCATCCCAAATAAGAGTTTTGCCTTTTCTTCCTCATTTGCACCCATATTGTCCCATATATAT